AAAAAAAAAAAAAAAAAAGCTGTGGTACATTTACACCATGATATACTATAAAAACAAACCAAACCAAACCAAACCAAACTAATTCACAGCCCAACCAACCTCAGGCTAAAGTTCCCCTTTGCCAGGAAATATACTTCATTGGCCCTTGATGTGGACTGATCGTCTTTCTTGGCAAAACTGTTATTAGTACCTGAAACTCCTTTGTAGTTGATCTGAGAGTTGATTGATAATTTTAAAAATTAAATCTAACTTCAACAATGATGTCATATGATCACAAGGCAGGTACACACCTAAATGATAAACTTGACTTCTAGGAAAGCCATGTGAAGAAAAGAATCACCTAATTACGGGGTGTGTAAAAAAAAGATAACTAAGGAACTCCCTCTTACATATTTTTAAGTTGTGACAGTAACTGTATATTTTGCTAAAGCAGTAACTTATTCACATTAACAAAAGTCTTCAGATTTTAAAGTTTTAACCTATCCAGTTAGACTTCTGTTTTCCTGTTATATTTCATAAAATATCAGTGTTTCAGTGATTTTTTAGGAGTTAAGAGGAATCTTGTCAAGAATTGCCATAAACTCATTAATTCTTTAATCTTATTATTTGGGAACAGAGATCAAATTTCAACATTGTAAACTCTGTTCAAACTTAGTATCTTCACAATAACCACACCGTATCCCTCTACTTTGAGTGATATATTACAGCCGAAAAACAGATTAAGCATATTCCAGTTTCTTTTATTTATGAGTATCTGAAAAAACATTAGATGTTAGGTTGCCAGTAGAACCATTGATTGAAGCTTTGCATCTTGCCTACAAACATTTCTGAATCAAGTGGCCACAAAAGAATCTGCAGACTTCCTTTGGCTGGTGACCTATTCTTCCTGGCAGGGCTTTGTGTCCCATGTCCTACTGTTCTGAGAAATGAGTGGCCACTACATGAATCCAAGTGTCTGGAAAACAGCAAAACTGTCAACCAGTTCAAACAGTAGGTTTGGCTCCAAAACATACTTGGAAACAATGAATAATGGTTTTTAATGGATCCAAATTCTCCCCTAGTACTTTTGCCTTAACAAAACAGTCTACTGTAGCTAGACTTTGCTAAGTTTTTAAGATTAGTATTAAGAATTTTTAAGTGGGTTAATACCCTTTAAAAGGAAAAAAACATGTCTTTAATAGTCCATACTTTCAACCATTGATAAGTCTTCTAGAGTAAAAAACAGTACTTTAAATGAACAAAGAATTGTCAAATTTCATTTAGGTTGCTGTTAGGGTTGATTTTCTTTAGCTATAAAAAAACAATTGCCCGGCCGGGCATGGCTCAGCAGTTGAGCGCTGACCTAGGATCCAGGTGATTGGGGTTCGGTTCCCAGTCAGGGCACATGCCCGGTTTCGGGCTCGATCCCCAGTCGGGGGCCTACAGGAGGCAGCGGGTCAATGACTCATTATTGATGTTTCTCTCTCTCTCTCTCTCTCTCCTTTCCTCTCTCTGAAATCAATAAAGATATATTTTAAAAACAAACAAACAAAAAACCCAAAACAATTAAGGTTATTTAAAGTTCACTCTAACCTTTGGAAGTGTTTTCTCCTTATCGTCATCTCAAGCAAGCTAAAGTTCTAGGTCCTCTAACTGCTCCTTCAGTTACTACGCAGTCTTTTAGTTACTTACAAGAGATCGGGAGCTCTGCTTGGACGGTGGCAGAAACTGTCTCACATTCGTAGGTGTTTCCTTTTCAATGGAATGTCGTCTCTGGGGTGGCTGCCGTCTCTCTGGCTGGGGTGTTGATGATATGGGCAAGAATTTTGGAGGTGCTAAAGAAATGAATTAACCAAATTAAAACGAACTTTCTTACTGTGAGAAAGAACTGTTACAGAAAAATCTTTGCAAGATAAACCTGCTAAAGAAACTGCAAGGAAAAAGTAAAAAATTCTCCATGTTTTTAAAATATTCACTCAAATTCTTACATAAAAAAATATAAGTACAGTCTCAAATTTGTACATACAAATGCCCTCATGTTATTTTCCACAGAATTTCACAATTAAAAGTTTGAGGCATTATTTTTAAAAATCATGCAAATATGTATTCTGTGTATCTAAAAGTCTCCCAAACCATACCAAAATTCTTTAAAAAATGTTTTTCTTTTTCAATTACAGTTTACATTCAATATTATTCTATGTTAGTTAAAGATGTACAGTAAGTGGTTAGACAATCATGTACTTCACAGAGTGGCAGAACAAAATGCTTAAATGTTCCTTCCTTAACATTCTTGTTTTAAAAGATAAAATATGGAAACTCTTCCTTCTTGATGTTTATCAAGACATTCTGTCCTTAGATTTAAATCAGGCTATATTTAAATTTCAAAAAATAAACTTCAGCTTTGATATAATATTGTGCTACTGCCCTCCTCTGCCTAGAATATTTTGGGACAGGATTTAAAAGGAGAATGGTTTAGGGTCTCAATGTTTCTGGATTCACATTTTGAAAACATTAGCAGAACATTAGAAATAAATTATATTGTCAAATTTTTATTTGGTACTTCCTCTTATTTTCTCTGCAAACAGTAAGGCTGCTTCAATGTAGTGGGTGAGGAAAGTGAAAGTCAACACAAAGTTAATTAAATATGATCCATCTATTTGGTCTGTCCCAACAAAAGAAATCACTATTGGAAAACAAAGAACATAATTCCCACAATCAAGAAATACAGATAATAACCAAGGTCAGCTCCTGTTATTTTGATATAACCTGTTTAAATAAATCAAAATACTATTTAAAGAACACACTGTATGTATATACAATACAAGAATGGTACTGTATGTATATACTACCTCTATGTATATAGGAAATCAGGCAATGTTTTAAGAATACCTTAATACGTAATTTTTTTCAAGTTTAATTGCACTACAATACACATAACAGAACGTTTACCATTGTAACCATTTTTAAAGATACAGTTCAGTGTCACTGAATACATTCACATGGTTATGCAACCATTACCACCATCCACCCCCATAACTCTTCATCTGTAAAACTGAAACTCTATACCCATTCAACAGGAAGCCCCTGGCAACTCCCATTCTACCCCATCTCTCTCTAATTTTGACCACTCTAAGAACCTCAGGTAAGTGGATCACACAGTATTTGCTTTATTTTGATTGCCTTCTTTCACTTAGCATAATGTCCTCAAGGTATACCTGTGGTAGCTATTACAGAATTTCCCTTCTTCTTTTTTTAAATCCTCACCTGAGGATATGCTTACTGATTTTAGAAAGGGAGAGAGAAACACTCATGTGAGAAACATCAACTGGCTGCCCCTCGTATGCGCCCCAACTGGGGACCTAACCCACTACCCAGGCACGTGCTCTGACCAGGGCACACCATGACCAGACGCTGTTTAAGAGATTTTATAAAAGTCTGAAGCATGAGCCAAAACAGGCCATTCACATGGAAAAGCCACTGGGAACAGCTTAGGTGGGCCCATAAGTTGGTTGGGGTGGGCTCTAAGGGCAGGGCAAATAGTAACAGCCAGGCTGATGGAGACTCCTATATGGCGCCCACCTGCTGGCTCTGTGGGGGAAGGCTCATCAAAGGAACAACGGCCTCTGCCAGCAGTTTTGTCTGGGAGAAAGCTGCTCCACCAGCTCTTGCCTTGATGCCGGACAATTCAGTTCCTCCCCATATATCCCCAGTGCCTTTTAGCTGCTATCCCAGAGCTGGAGCTCAGAGGGAGTGAGTCAGCGTAAGTCCACGTGTGGACCCTTTAAGAGGAACTGCCTGGGACTCCAGCAGCCTCCGTCTCCCTCAGCCACAATCCCTGCCGGTTTTTACAGCAGGAAGTTATGGGGACTCCTCTTCCCAGCACTGGAACCCTGCACTTGAGGGCCTGGTTTGGGGCTGAGACCCATCACTCCTCAGGGGGGACCTCCACAGCTGTGATCTCGCTCCTGGTTTTTATCTGCCACGCGTGGGCGTGGGACTGGCCTGTTCTGTCTCTGCCCCTCCTACTAGTCTGGATGTGTCTTCTTTAGATCCTTAGTTGAAGGACTTCTGTTCAGAGAAATTTCAGGCAATTCTGAATGATGGTTATTCTGTAGTTTAGTTGTAATTTTAGTTGTGTGAGGATTCAAGTACCACATTTACTTACACCGCCACCTTGACTGGAACTAAAAGTTCCTTTTTTTCAATATGTATTTATAGTAATACATTTCCTCACAAAACCGCTTCCACTGTGTCCCATAAGTTTTGGTATGTTGTGATTTCATATTCATTTGTCTAATTATTTTCTAAATTCCCTGGTGATTTCTTCGACTCACTGATTTTTTACAAAAGTGTATTAATTTTCACAGTTTTGCGAAATTTTTAGTTTTACTCTGTTACTGATTTTTCACTTCATCCTGTTGTGGCCAGAGAAGATACTCTGAATGCTACCCGTCTTCATTTTGTGACCTAACATATGGTCTATCTTGGAAAAGGTTCCATGTGCCCTTGAGAGGAATGTGCATTCTGCTGTTGCTGGATACAATGTTCTGTATCTGTCCTTCACTTCTTACTGCTTTATTGTGTTGTTTAAGTCCTCTTATTCCTTACTATCTTCTCTTTGGTTGTTCTATCCTTTATTGTGAGAGGGGTACTGAAGCCTCGAACCATTACAGTAAAACTGTATATTTCTCCTTTCAATTCTGTCATTTTTTGCTTCATATATTTTGATGGTTTGTCATTAGATGTGCAAATTATTATATCTTTGCTGTATTGAATATTTTAATATACATTGTTCTTCTGTGTCTTTAATAACCATTTTTTTATTTAAAGTCTATTTTGTCTGATTTCAGTATAGACATCCCAGCTCTCTTTCGGTTACTACTTCTATCCTTTCACTTTCAATGTGTGTCTTTGGATCTCAAGGGAGTCTCTTGTAGACAGCATATAATTGGATCATGTGCTTTATCCTTATGCCAATCTCTGGGCTTACTTCTGTCACTGTACTATTTGTTATTTATATGCCTTATAGCTTTTTGTTCCTTATTTCCTGTATTTCTGCCTTCTTTTGTGTTTAGATAAATTTGTAATGAAATGTTTAAATTCTTTTCCTATTTCCTTTGTGTATATTCTATAGCTATTTTCTTTGTGGTTACCATGGGAATTACATGAAACCCCCAAAAGTTTTAACACTCTAATTTGAATTTACACCAGTTTAACAGTAACTCACAAAAGTTCTACTCCTATACAGCTCTATCCCCATCACTTTTGGTTTCTTGGCATCACAAAATTACATCCTTATAAATTTTCTGCCCCACAACATAGAAAACTAATTTTTAAAAATGCATTAGCCTCTCAAATTATGTAAAAAATAAGATTAAGAGTTACAAAACAAATTTACAGTAATACTACGTTCTGTATTAATAATGTTCTTGTTTAAATGCATTCATCTCTTAAATCATGTAGAAAAAAAGCACAGTACAAACCATTGCTACAATAATATTAGCTTTTATAACTGCACATGTATTTACCTTTATTGAGATCTTTCTCTACATGGCTTCAGGTTACTGTCTAGTGTCCTTTCATTTCACCCTGCAAGACTCCATTGAGCACTTCTTGCAGGGAAGGTCTAGTGGTCACAAACTTGTTGAGCTTTTGCTTGCTAGGAATGTTTTGATTTCTCCCTGACCTTTGAAGAACAGTTTTGCTAGATACAAGATTCACTGGTTGTTCTTTTTTGTTTCTTTTAGCACTTTAAATATATTGGCTGACTTTCTTCTGGCTTCCAAGTTTTCTGATGAGAAATCTGCTGAAAATCTAATTGGAGATCCTCATATGTGATGACTTACTTCTCTCTTGCTGCTTTCAAGATACTCTGTCTTTTGAAAGTTTGTTTATAATGTGTTTTAGTGTGAGTCTCTGAGTTCTTCTTAGTTGAGCTTCTTGAATATTTATATTCCTGCCTTTCATCAAATTTGGGAAGTTTCAGCCATTATTGCCACACATATTCTTTGTGACCCTTTCTCCTCTCTGGGAACTCACACAATGCATATATTGGTCTGCTTTATGGTATCCCAAAGGTCCCTTAGTCTCTGTTTGGTTTTCTTAAATCTTTTGTTTTTTGGTTCCCCAGACTCAATAATTTTCATTGTCCTATCTTCAAGTTTCCTGATTCTTTCTTCTCTCTCCTCAAATGTCTTTTTAATTCCTCTAGTGAAATTTTCATTTCAATTATAATTTTCAGCCCCCCCATTTTTTGGGGATTTCTCTCTCTATTGATATTTCTACTTTGTTCACACATCATTTTCTTGAATTTCTCCACATATTTATTGCTTTGAGCATCTTATTTATTTTTAGAGAGAGAATAAATTTTTAAAAATATGTTTTTATTGATTTTTAAAGAGAAGAAGATGGAGAAAGAGATAGAAACATCGATGAGAAAGAAATACTGATCAGCTGCCTCCTGATGGCCTCCACCAAGGATCTAGCCCACAGCCTGGGCATGTGCACTGATCAGGAATTGAACCAGTGACTTCTTGGTGCATGGGCTGAAGCTCAACCACTGAGCCACGCTGGACGGGCTGCTTTGAGCATCTTTAAAATAGTTGTTTTAACGTCTTTGTCTAGTATAACTATAAACAGGTCATTTTTATGAGATAGTTTATGTTGATTTATTTGTTTCCTCTGAATAAACCATACTTTTCTGTTTTTGTTTCTGTATATACCTTATAATTTTTTGTTGTTGAATGACTGGACATCTGAATCTAATAATGTGGTAACTCTGGAAATGAGATTCTCCCTCTTCCCCAGGGTTTGCTGTTTTTTGTTATTGTTTTTGTTCATTTACTTATTTTTAATTGTTGCAGGATGTCTTTGTGCTGAGGAACAGACTGAGGTGTAAACTTAAGATCTTCTTCGGACTTTTATGAGCCATATCCTGGGCATGTGTAGCTACTCTATAATTTTTCCTGATGTGCAGCTGCTTTTGAATGTCCTAGTCTATAACATTTTCTCAAAAGGGGGAAAAAACAAAAAATGAAATAAGGGGGGGGGGGTGCCAGCCCTTTAAATATTGTGGAAGTCCCTTGAGCGGGAATAGAGGGTAGCTAGCAAAAATGCAACAATGGCTCCCCACCTGTGGAGACAGAAGCAGCAATCAGAGCACAGTATTTGGAGAACAGGATCCTTTTGGTTCACCCTGACTCCCGCAAGCTGCTCCAGAAACAGTACACAATGTCTGCCAGTGGGTGGGGGTGGGGGATAAGTAGCTGCTACTATGCTAATAGCTGACTGAAATTAACCACAATTTACTATCCAAGTCCTCCCCTGGAAGTTACAAGCCTTCAATAGACTCCAAATAGAGTTCCAAAACAGAGCAAAGTCGGCCAGTGCAATTGTTGTCTAGGTGGGGAGACAGATGCCTGGTACTACCTACTCCATCTTCCCAGAATCTTCTCCCTTAATATAAAATTTTAATCCTTTATAAATAAAAGTGTAATAAGAGCATTTAGAAATCACTTAACTTTATATTCTAAGTTATACAGTGTTTTTACTATCTATACGTGTTATGTGGGTACAGATAGTTGGATATGGATATTTGGATATGTATGTGAGGGGTAATAACAAATTTGATTACTGGGTTTCTTGCTTAAATTCAGACAAGGAGGTAATTAATCTAAAAACCACATATACAGACAATTGACTTATTTCCTACAACTATTATCTGTAAACCCAAAGGTGACTGATCTAAGTTAAAAACCTGAGGCCCGTTATTAGGTTATTAGTTTAGCCTCACCTTATGATGTCACTGTACAAATGTAACTGAATATTTCTGTTCCTAACTAGTGAAATTCCAAGCTTAGTTCTTTATATCCCAAATAATCACAAGGTATTTTGGGATCCCCTATTCTAGGACAAGTGTGTTTTTTAAGGTATCTGATGCTAGTTTTTTGTGCCACAAATACTCACTCTTCCTTGTGGACACAGCCTCCACTAAGGGATCTTCAAGGAAGGAGGGAGACACACTGCTGCTGCTCGATGACTTGTGCAGAGTTTCTTCCTGAGAAAGGAATGAACAGAGAAATAGTGAGATTCCTTAGACTAATTAATAACATTTTATTGTAGGTGCTCTCCTGCTAATTAATAACATTTTGCTATTAAATATTTATTTTAACATGAGGCACCAAACTGTAAAAAAAATCAAAGAAAGTAGAAGACAAACTAGAAGGGACTAAAGTTAGATATGTCTGAGTTTGTGTCCTGGCTTTGTCTATTATAGTGATATGTGACATGTTGCAAGTTTCTTATCTTAATTTCATCATTTGGTTTTTTAAAATACATTTTTATTTTTCAATTATAGTTGACATACAATATTATATTAGCTTCAGGTGTACACCATAGTAATTAGACATTATATAACTTATGAAGTGAGCACCCCAATAAATCTAGTACCCATCAGGCACTGTACATAGTTATTACAATATTATTGACTATATTCCCTATGCTGTAATTTATATTTCCATGACTACACTGTAACTATCGATTTGTACTTCTTAATCCCTTCACCTTTTTCACCAAGCCCTCAGCCCTCCCACCTGCCAACCATTAAAATGTTCTCTGTATCTATGAGTTTGATTCTCTTTTTGTTTGGTTGTTTGTTTTTTCAATTCCACATATAAGTGAAATCATATGGCATTTGTCTTTTTCTGACTTATTTCCCTCAGCACAATACCCTCTAGGCCCATCTACATTCTTGCAGATGGCAAGATTTCATTCTTTTATATGGCTAAGTCATATTCCATTGTATATATACACCACTTCTTCATCCATTCATCTATTGATGGATACTTAGCTTGCTTACATATCTTGGCTATTGTAAATAATGTTGCAATGAACATGTGGGTGCGTATGTCTTTTCGAATTAGTGTCTGGAGTTTCTTCAGATAACTACCCAGAAGCAGAATTGCTGGGTTCATCTTTGTTTTGAAGTCTATTTGTCTAGTATAAGTATTACTACCACAGCTTTTTCGTTTGTTTCCATTTTTGTGAAATATCTTTTTCCATCCCTTTACTTTCAGTCATTTGATGTGTGTCATTTGATCTGAAGTGAATCTGTTGTAGACAGCATATGTAAGGGTCCTTTTTTTTTAATCCATTCAGCCACCTTATGTCTTTTGATTAAAGCATTTAATCCATTTACATTTAAAGTAAGTATTGATATGTAATTATTGCTATTTTATTATTTGCATTTTTGATTACTCTTTTAACTCCTCTTGCCCCCCACTTCCCCTCCTCCTGCAAGAAGTCCCTTTAACATTTCTTATAATACTGGTTTGGTGCTGATGAACTCCTTTAGCTTTTTCTTGTCTGGGAATCTCTTTATATGTCCTTCAATTCTAAATGATAGCTTTGCTGGGCAGAGTAATCTTGGTTGTAGGTCCCTGCTTTTCATCACTTTGAATATTTCTTGCCAATCCCGTCTGGCCCGCAAAGTTTCTGTTGGCAAATCAGCTGACAGTCTTATGGGAGCTCCCTTGTAGGTAACACTGCATTTCTCTTGCTGCTTTTAAGATACCTTGTCTATAACCTTTGCCATTTTAAAAAATTGATTTTTAGAGAGGGAGGGAGGGAGGGAGACACAGAGAAACATAGATAGTAACAGAGACACACTGATCGGTTGCCTCCCATATGCTTGCTGACCAGGATCAAACCAACAACCTAGGCTTGTGCCCTGGCCAAGAACTGAACCCAAGACATTCCAGTGTACTGGACGATGCTTCAACCACTGAGCAACACTGTCCAGAGCAACCTCTGCTATCTTAATTATGATGTGTCTCACTAAGCCACAATCTCCAATGGTTTTCACAACCATAATTATGGGGACTTCTTTTCCTGGCACTGGAATCCAGGGCTGGGAAGCCTCAAGAGGGACCTCTGCACTCAAGATATCCCTCCTGATTATTAACCACCACATGAGTATGGGACCAGCCAGTTTCACATCTCTGCCCCTCCTACCAGTCCTGACATGGCTTTTTCTGTATATCCTTAGTTATATGACTTCTGTTCAACTAGATTTCAGGTGGTTCTCAATAGTGGTTGTTCCATAGTTTAGTTGTAATTTTTTAAAAAAATATGTCTTTATTGATTTCAGAGAGAGGGAAAGAGAGAGAAGCATCAATGATGAGAGTCATTGATCGACTGCCTCTTGCACTCCCCCTACTGGGGATCGAGCCCAGCAACCCGGGCATGTGCCCTGACTGTGAATCCAATTGTGATCTCCTGGATCCTAGGCCGACGTTCAATCGCTGAGCCATGCTGGCTGGGCTATTTAAATTTTTGTTGCTGTTGTTAATCCTCACCTGAGGATATTTTGCCACTGATTTTTTTTTTTTTTTTAAGAGAGAGTGGGCAGGGGGAGAGAAAAAGAGAGAGAGAAACATCAATATGAGAGAGACACATCAGCTGGTAGCCTCCTGCCTGTGACCCGACTGGGGCTGTGGATCAAACCTGTAACCCAGGTATGTGCCCTTGACAGAGAATCAAACCCATGACCCTTTGGTTCCAGGTCCGAAGCTCTTACCACTGAAACATACCAGCCAGAGCAGTTTACTTGTAATTTTGATGTGCTCATGGGAGGAGGCAAGTACAGTGTTTACTACTCAGCCATCTTGAACAGAAATCTTAGTTTCATTGCTTTAAAAGAGATGTATTGCTCTGGCCTGTGTGGCTCAGTTGGCTAGGCATTGTCCTGGGCACCAAAAGGTTTCCAGTTTGATTCCTGGTCAGGGCACATGTCCGGGTTGTGGGCTTGATCCCCAGTGGAGGGCACGCAGGAGGCAGCTGATAGATATTTTTCTCTCACGTCGATGTTTCTCTCTCTCTCCCTCTCCCTTCCTCCCTCTCCAAAAATTAAAAAATATATATTAAAAAAAGTAAAAGAGGATATATAATACCATCTTTCTCAGTGTTACTAGAAGGATCAGATGAGATACTGCATCCAAAAAGCTTAACACATTACCTGGCCTACAATAAATGGTGGTTAATATTATTAGGGGAATATTTAACACATTTATAAAAGTAATAGACTGGGAACCCCACGAGGGTAGATGCCATGTGTCTTATTCATTGCTGTTACCTAGTATTCATTGCTGTTACCCATCACTTAGTATGTAATGAATAAATATTTTTTGAATAAATGGATGAAAATAAACATCCCATGAAATGACATTTGATTCTAGAAAAGTGTCTACTATGTGCCAAATAAAACTTAAATTCCTATTACTGGTGAAAAAAGATCTTCTTGGTTTAGACTATACCAAAATGAAGTACAATTACTTATTCTTAAAAAATTTATTACCTACTCTACGACAGAGAATACACATTAACTATAAGGCAACTTATTTCAATAACTATAGAAAATTGATAAATATTTTTAAATACAGAAGATATTAGGTTAATATATTAATCTATGACTATGTAAGACAAATAGTGAAAATTCTCTTAGACCTACTTACCACTGAAACATACCAGCCAGAGCTGGTATTTTAAGGTGATTTTAAGAATCAGCCATTCACTAAAAACTGGCCTCACCAAAAACCTACTGCTGAAAGCATTAGTTTCAAACAAGCTACAATTCAAAGGATCTTGTTAAAGAACAGAAGAAAAAAGACTGTGTAAACCACACAGTTCAAACAAAGAAGGTTGGAACAGTGACCTCAACACTCTTGATACCTACCACAAAGAACAAATCAAGCAATGTAAGCAAAACCTCAACCTCAGGCACTGTATAGGTCACACAGATCTCCAGAAAAGCGAGCAAGCAACTAGAATGGCTTCCTTCTGCTTATGGAAGGTCAAAAGGAAATAAAAGTCAAGAGTATTTCTTTGGAAAGGGAAAGAGTGGTCAAACACAGCACTTCCCAAATGATTACGAGGTGGGTGCTACCCTGATTTAAACAGCAAAAATCAGCCCCTGCCTTACACACTTCAGCTCACCTTCCCTAGAATTTTTTTTTTTTTTTAAATATATCTTTATTGATTTCAGAGAGAGGAAAGGAGAGGGAGAGTGAGAGACAGAAACATCAATGATGAGAGAGTCATTGATTGGCTGCAGCCTGCAACCCGGGCATGTGCCCTGACGGGGAATCGAACCCTGATCGCCTGGATCCTAGGTCAATGCTTAACCGCTGAGCCACGCCCGGCCGGGCTAGAATCATTTTTAAAAGCCTAATTTCACAGAACTCTGAGTCATATCCACAGCTTTCACCCCACTCTTCTTTACTGATCTGAAATGCTCCCACTGTGAACAGCTAAGAGCCTATCCTGGAGGGGGGAGGGGGGAATACAAGCCAGTTTGTAGGAGACAGAAAAATTATGGGGACACTGGCCTGATTCAGGGCAATCTGGGATTTGTTCCCAGAAGCTGTTGATGGTCTTCTGTCCCTGCATGCCCACCTCAGGCAGCTGTACCCAATTTTTTGACTACTTGAGAAGTAATCTTTGCCAGGATTAGTTCCTGCCGGAGAGGAATCACAGACACCCAGAAGGGGAACCAGGAGACTTACAGAGGCCCTATCTCCTGAGTGAGAGAATGTGTATGTGGACTCCTATTTGCTGCTTGCCCTATCACATCTATCCCCATTGACTTAACACTTTTTGCTTGTCTGAGGAATTTTGATGGGACTCTGACATCTCCGGAACATCAGTCTTTCCTGCTGCTTGGCCTGGCTTCTGACATTTGCTTGTTTGTTTGGGCTGATCCATTACTAGTCTCAGACACTCACTAAGTTAGGCGTGGTCTGGTTCTATATTCTGATTAGTGACTCTAACAGGTTCTGACTGTAACGAGGTCACTTTTGGAACTCCCAGTGCTTCACTGCAGCTTTGCTCCAAGGGCACCAATGGCATTGAAGGCTGCCAGAATTGTCTCCGAGGCCAATCTGGGCACCTAACTCACTTAACAGGAACAAAAATCTTCCTTTTCCTGATAAGCCCAGCGAAGGCTCAGATATAGCTCCTTTACTTAGATTTCCTATTGGAAGCTTTGATATGGCTCAGATCAAAGCTTATCTTCATTTAAAAATGTTACCTGGAATAAGCTAGCAGAGGTTATTAAAGATATAAAGCAAGAAACATTAAAGCTAGATTTCTCAGAAGAGAAAAAAGGAGTGATAAAAAAGGTCTGATGTTGGCAGTCTAGTTTAGTAGGAATTCTGCTACTCAAAAAGTTGTATGACTTTTTAAACTTGGTCTCTATCTCTACTAGGGGTTGTTTTCTGTTGAAAAGTCATGATGTTGGGCAAAATTTCTAAGCCCCCTTCCAGTTTAAAAATTTAAAAATTCAGGCATTTTCATACACTGCTAGTTGGAATACTAGCAAGTTTATGAGATATGCAGACTTTGCAGTTAGACTTGGGTTTCAAATCATTTACCAGCTCCTTAACAGTGTAAGTTCAAAGACAAAACCTTTCTGTTTCTGTTTCCTTATCTTTTATACAAGGACCACAGGTACTTTCTAGGGTGTGAAGACAATTTATAATACCTAAAGTACAGAGTTAGCTCAATGAAAAGTGGGTGTTATAGTTTTAAGGAACTTAGCAACATGTATTAAGAGCTATAAAAATGTGCATTCTTTCACCTAGGAAATATACTTCTAGAAATATCCTGAAAAAATGTACCATAAGGATGTTTGTAATAGTATTGTTACTTAAAACTCAAGAATAAGGGAATGGTTAAATAAAATATGGTAAACTACTATGATGGAATACCACACAGATATTAGGCATCGCGTTGGAAAAGGATACTTAATGAGATGGGGAAAATGCTCATATATATTTTTAAAGTAAAAACCGCAGGTTACTTCTAGTTCTGGCAAAATGGCAGGTTAGATAACCTATTTCTAAGGCTGAAAGTGGTTTCTGGGTTACTACAAATGGTCAAGTTTAACAACTAGGAACTTCGAAAAGACATCAAGTCCAGCTTGCAGTTAATGCTTATTATTTATTATTTAACTATTATTATTTAAATATACAAAGCTGCTGGATAAGTCTAAGAGAAAAAAATCAGTTTGCTGGTTTTGTAACTGAAGTTCTTAACAGAAAGGAAAAAAATGTATTTCCCTGATTGAACAACAAACTTATGGCATTAAGAAAATTTAAAATGCAAGTCGCCAGGCCGGGCGTGGCTCAGCGGTTGAGCATCGACCTAGGATCCAGGAGATCGGGGTTCAATTCCCAGTCAGGGCACATGCCCAGGTTGCGGGCTAGGCAGCCGATCAATGACTCTCTCATCATTGATGTTTCTATCTCTCTCTCTCCCCTTCCTTTCCTTTCTCTGAAATCAATAAAAATATGTTTAAAAAAAAAAAAATACAAGTGAATGCCTCACAGTTCTTAAAAGGATTTTTGTTTTTACATAAAGCAGTTGAGTTTATATTGATAAAGTAAATAATTCATTGATATTCTATTTCATAAGAATATTTGATAATAATAATACATGGACTGATGAGAAAATTCAGAACTAAACAGGGATTATTTAAACAGTATATTCTTTGTGATAATTTGGATCCAAGTTTAAGTTAAACCTCAAAGATAGCAATAGGCAATAGGAAATTTCTGGTGGACCGTGTAATCCAATAAAAAGTGTCTGCATAGGTAAGCAGAGGTGATATCCTGGAATGGTGGAAGGTATCTCATAATATGAAGTCTCCATAGAAGAGGAAATTAAATGAGATCATGTATGAATGAGTTTATCATACAGCTGGTATTTTGGTGGCTGGAAGGTATTTTTTAAATATATTTTTATTGATTTCAGAAAGAGGGAGGGAGAGGGAGAGAGAGAGAGATAGAAACATCAATGATGAGAGAGTTATTGATTGGCTGCCTCCTGCACACCCCCTGCTGGGGATCGAGCCCACAACCCAGGCATTTGCCCTGACCAGGAATCGAACTGTGATCTCCTGGATCACAGGTTGATGCTCAACAGCTGAACCATGCCGGCTGGGCCGGAAGGTATTTTTTAAAATGTGAAAATAAAAAAATCTCTAACGAGACAAGACTGGTAAGTTAACAGGAGAAATTTAAACATGCATAATATCATTTCCTATGTAACAGGGCATAAAGTGCTCAGTTTGCAGCTGGATACATCACTGCTTCTTCCCTAAAGGGAGGTTCTGGTCTCTTCTTCAACCACTGCAAGGGTTTCAGTATGGAGGGTGGGCAAAGAGGCCTGTGCAAGGAGCAGGGGGACAGGCAGGCTCACTGGTAAGAAGTGCAGTGTTCGCTGAGCACTGTAATTCCCTAGTGGAACACTTCCTCTTACAACAAAAAAGAAACCTCACACTGCTCTGTAAGGCCTTAGGGGAGCCTCAGAAGATGGGGATGGGGATAGGGGGGTGCAGGGCTCTAGTCTCCACCCTCCATTTTTGCTGATATTGTGTACTTATGAAGGTTTAATGTGAAGAAAAAGGTTTTCGTGTTTAAAAAAAAGTTTGTGAGGGGAAGAAGAAAAATGGGGAAGTAGGTGATAAAATGGAGAGGATAGAAGAAAAATAGTAAGATCAACTCTTTCTGCGATTCCTCTTTATTTGGTCTCTATTCTCCTCTAACTACAGCCCTGAGCCTTGACTTAGTGTTGTTCAAGGGGCAACCTCAGCCAGGAATTCATGAGACAGGTAAGCATAGCTGCTGTAGGATAAACAAGAAAGGTTAGAATCAGACTGCTCCTTGGTCCTCAGAGAAAGTCTGGGCCAGCAGGGGAGAAATACATAAGCCTGCCGTGACAGCATGGCAGGTGTCACACAGCAAAGTGGAAGGCCTCTGCCCGGTGCTCTGCTCTCCGGATTCTACAGCCCAAGTCCTCCCTCTTCCATGAGCTTCACTAGCACCCGGGGGAGTCCCTGTAGTGGCACACTATGTCACACATTACGCAGCCTCAGATAGTGCCTGGTAGGCCATGTGTGTTCACTAAGCATGTGTAATGATTCTTAGATAGACGTTTTTAATTTCCCATTTAGACTATAAGCAATGGGAGGGCAAAGCCTGTTGCATTTCTGCTTCTCCTTTAGTTCTTACTGGAAGCATTCTATAAATATTTGAATGGGAAACTGAAGTGGCATTGGAAAAAAAAAATCAGTGAAAAGAACAAATAGAAGAACAGTTACAGAATATATAAAAAGTAGGGAGAGCCCCAGCCTGGGGGCTCAGTTGGAGCATCATCCCATAGACCAAAAGGATGACGGTTGGATCCCTGGTCACACGGTTGGGGCACATATGGGAGGCAACCAATCGATGTTTCTCTCTCACAACAATGTTCCTCTCTCTCAAAATCAATAAACATACTCTTGGGGGAGGATTAGAAAAAGAAAGTAGAGAACAACATTGCTATAAAATGTGAATGAAGGCAGCACGTGTAATGTGATGTGGGATGTACCTAACTGTCTGTAATTGTGGTTATTTTTGTAAGTAAGCAAATATGACCTGAGGTAAATCAGTCTTGGTTTAGGAATTCCCTGACATTAGGAATAGACGAAGGTGGGGAAAAGAACACCTATCCATTAATTTGGAAAAGACAGAATTCCTCAACATCTTTTCCACGTTCATACTTTCTTTACCAAGTGACAGTAAGTAATCCACTGTTTTATTTCCTGCTAAACAAATTAATTTTAATCCTAACTTTACTGTTTGAAAATGGGGAGGGATTAAGTAACAAGCAGAAGCAATATGATCAGTAATCTAGGTCAGAGACTGTTGGCATCCTGAACTTGGAGTTGAGGCTTGTGAGCCAGGGCCCACGGGACCTCACCTCAGAGTCAGAGCTGTCCAGTTCAGCCAGAGTTGGAGCTTTGAGGAGCTTCTTCCTCTGCACAGGCACCTGCTGAGCAGCATTTAACCTATTTTCTTTTGTTTTTGATGTTAAACCTCCATTCACCACTGATGATTCCGCAATGTTCTTTGGAGATTCAGGGGTAGTTACATCTGGTAAAAGAAAGAAGAAAGCTCACCTTTTCTTGAGCCAAGAAAGGCAATCAGTGGATGAAATATACTTTTCTAAGTACCTGCACTCAGGAACACACACTAGGTGACACAGCATTTCCATGTCACACACATACAACACAGAGGCTTGATACAATAACTCCTATGTACAAAGCATTTTTGTTAGATATTAACTGTCAGACTCAATTAAAGAAAACTTTTAAACTTTTAACTGACTACATGTTCACATTTATAGATTAAAATTTAGAGCTGGAAGAAATTCTACAGATAACTGACTCCAACTTCTTTATTTTCCAGAGGCCCAGAGAGGCTAGTGTTATAGACTCTAAAGAGCTAGTGATAGTTAGATCAGAGTGGTGGCATGCACGAAGCCTTATTAAGTGTGTGACTGTAAGGTATGAAAATGGTTTGATTTAAAATAGCTAATAATCTATATTAATATAAACATGAACACAAAGAATCTGGGATACATTCCCTCTGATAAAGCTGACTTAGTTTATTCAGAGCTCAAGTCTGGATGGGAAAGCAATGTAACAGATTAAAGAAATGCAGAGTACAGAGCACAGAGTATCGAGTATACAGTACAGTACGCTGCAGATGGTTCTGGTTCAAAGTCAAGCTCTGCTGCTAGCCAGCTAACCACTTGTTTCCTCATCTATAAAACGGGCTAACAACAGATACGAGCTTGTTGTGAGGATTAAATAAGTTAACAACTGCATATAAAATACTTAATACAGTGTGTAATAAAGGTGGTGCACCATGAATGTTAGCAATTAGTAACACCAATTAGTATCTACATTAGCAAGTAAGCTAGCTAAGATTCAGAGTGATTTAGCCAGAGTCACAAAGCTAGTGTGTGGCAGAAACTTGAATCCTGGTTAGCACTGATTCTAAAGGCCACTTTTTTTTTGTACTGTAGCCTGTAATTTTCCAATATAGGTGGAACTACTTTTCTTCAGTATTTTAAATAAAGTGTTAAACATTTAAGTTTAATAACTACCAAATTTGAGTATTTAAAAATGAGAAAAAGCAGTCACTGCATAATTTAAGTTCCGGTCCAGCACCCAGGACCATGAACAGATCTATGCACATGGAACAGTCTGAAACTCCTGCAGTTGGGAGTAAAGGGCACACTAAGCACTCAAGTGAAAAAGATGATTAATGCTCTTTTATGAGGGGAAAGTATTGTAACTGGTTATTATAAGATATAAGAATTAGCAGTTCTCCCCAACATATAATATTATACGCTTGAAGTTTAAGAAGTGGATTTCCAGGAAACATTAAGTATATAAATGTGTTCTAGTACAGCCTTCTATGACATTATTTTAAAGAGTCATGTAAATTATTTATTATATATGATTATATATATGATTTAATATTTATAATTTCTGCTTATTTTGAGGGATCAAGAAGGCCAGAGAACATGCCCTTGTGAGCTAGAAGGGTTTGAGTAGGCTGGGAAGGAAGGAGGGAAGGGAAAAAGGAAGGAAGAAGACAGACACACCTGTCCATCAATCATTTATCACTTTACATAAAATTTCTAATAGAAAATTTGACAACATGTGTTAATTCTGTTACTGTTTCCAGGTATTAAGTAGCTAAAACAAATACATAATTGGGGAAGGAGGTATGCTGAAGGGGACAAAAGGGCAAAAGCAGCGAGTTTCATGTATATTATAGTGGTTAAAGTCTTCAAATACATTTTTGATAAGGAGGTGCGGAGTGCTGGGCTGCCACACTTAGGATAATTTAAAAGTTCCCAGAAAGCAAAGGAGGAAATGATTGGGCTAATTGATTAACTTCTATTAAAAAAAAAAAGGTAGTGCTTACATATGGTCCAGGAGTATATTTTTAAAAATCTTATTCTATAGTGGCTCTTATTTTATACCCTTCCTGTGGAATTGCTCATGTTGTTGTAGCAGTCTTTCAAGAGAAAGCACACGGCTAAAACTGCACACATCTTTCACTCCTCTTAACTACCCATATTCCAATCGAGGCTCCCAAGTTGGAGGTAGAGTATAGTGAGAAGAGTGCAGTCAGCTTCCCAAAGCAGGTCTCACATTCCCCATCGACCAGGTCAGGATGAAACCACTTAGAAGTGCATGGAGGAACACTGAAACAGTTTTAATGGTTATACATTTATTTTAATGTTTCAGAAAAAAATACTATATCAGATGCATGATTTTATAGATGTTATTGCTTAAGATTTTAAAAAGTCATTTATGATAAATTTTAAAAACTTAAAACAGTACCTGGTAGCACTTAAGTCTGGCAAAAATCATGAGGGTGGCATCTGAACTGAAGTTTAGGAAACACTGCTGCCATGAACTCATTTCATTCTCAATGCAGGGGATTTGAGAAATTACCCAATAGCTCTCTAAGTACCTAAACACTGTGCTATGAGACTGATAACTGTATTTGAGGTCACTGACTAAAACTACTAAAATAAGTACTTCGTACTAAATTCAAAGCTTTGAGATAAACAGGATTAATAAAAAGTATGTTACATAACAGGTTTCAGAATGATCTCCACATATAAGATTAAATACTGTGCGTGATTTTATCTCATAGTTAATATTTGTAAAAGACCCAGTTGCAGTTGAACATATTTTTAAGAGATGTTTTTAAGTAGTTTAATTATTTATACTTTTCTGTTCAAATAAATAAATCCTCATTACTTCAGTGTGTCATACGAAAAAACAAAATATTTAGACAGGACTTTGTACTTCTTCTATGTAAGACAGAATTCCCTGAGAAAAAACAAATGATATTTATAAGTAAGCAAAATATTTAAGATGCTAGATATGGCTTGAAAAGTCATATATCTCAGGTTCAGTGCATAACCGTGATATTAAATAATTTATGTAATAACTTTATGCATGCTAGATACACCCAGCTGCTGCTTTATTTAGTTGAAGGAGATTTAACTGGGATACAGATTATATATTTAATATTTGCATTGGAAAAATAAATTATACTTCCTTAATTAATGTTGAATGGATTAAAATTTTCCACTAAGAATTAATATTTCTAAGATATACCTAAGCAACAGAATATACTTTATGTCTTATTCTACACTTAAGTTCAGAGGAGTTATTTATATGTTTCAATATTTACTCATTAGTTTTCTAACTTTGCATTGCAATCTTTGCATCAGGTTAAAGAATGGCTCCATCTTTTCCATTTATATATATGTATTTTTAAAAATTGATCTTAGAGAGAGGAAGGGAGGGAAGAGAGAAACATTGATGTGAGAGAGAACATTGATCAGTTGCCTTCTGTATATACCCCGACTGGGGAATGAACCCGCAACCTAGGTATATGCCTGACTGGGAATCGAACCCACCACCTTTTGGTGTACAGGATGACGCTCCATCCAACTGAGCCACCTGGCCACGGCCCATTTATAATTTGAGACATTTTAATTGAGTAGTCAAAATGCAACAATGAAAACATAAAAGCAGCACAAGAAATTGAGAATAAAGCATGTAGAAATCATGAAGTACATACACATTAAGGTATGAAATAAACTACAGCAAATGACAAACAGTGAAAGCAAATACAAATTTTTTGTTACTATTTTATATCAAGGAGGTTAAGTACCAAGATCTTTTTGCCCAACACACAACCCATCAGATAACCTATAAGAATCCAAAATACACCTATATACAATGTGTGTGTGGGTATGCATAATGTCTACATCAGCCACCTGTGCTTAATTGTGTTAGCCAATAGTCAATGTGTTTCAGTAGTCAGCCACCCCCATACAGTCCAAATAATGGAAACATCTTTAGTAGATATTTAGAAGAAATAGAGTGTCTATAATATATACTGCCAACTTTTAGAGACTGGCAGTAACATATATATTCCAAAACATTTCTGAGTTTATTTTCCAGACCAGATTTTTTAAATAAGGTTACTCTGCAAATGGTTGATAAAATAAAAATTTCAAGCGGATAAAGAAAATAGAAAAGCTCTTTAGTGGTCAGTCAAAAGTAGTAAAAGAGTGTAAATTATTTATCTGAGTTTCTTTTTTTATTTTATATATATATTTTTTATTGATTTCACAGAGAGGAAAGGAGAGGCAGAGAGAGAAACATCAATGATGAGAGAGTCATTGATTGGCTGCAGCCCACAACTCGGGCATGTGCCCTGACCAGAAACCGAACCCTGATCGCCTGGATCATAGGTCGATGCTCAACCGCTGAGCCACGCCCAGCCGGGCTATCTGAGTTTCTTGAAAGAGCAAATATTAGTCATACCTGAGACTTAGAAATGTAAAAGGAAGTTTAAAAAACAGTTGGGAACTAGATTAGCAGTTGAAAGATACTTAGTACATATTTATAAACAGAATATAATACTAGAATTCTCTGGCCCTTTAAATATGAATTTGTATTTAAGATATGCCAACAATTCCATGGCATATAAAAGAAAGTTCTGGAAGAATATATTAGTCCCAACATATTATCTCATTTTACATTCAAAATGACTGCTTCCAAAATTAAAAATTCTAACTTGCAAAATAATTTATGAGGATTAAGTTGGCTTGGAAACTTCATTCATATATAGTTCAAAAACTCAATTTAAAAAGAGGGCTGATTTTACAGATAAAATTTACTCATTAGTAGTTATTTGTCTCACTATGAATCCCTGTCTATTTAACAGGAAGGGTCTAAACTTGCACAACAAACCTGGGACACACATTTTACAAACCAAAGCCACGGCAGTGCTTTTCTTTTTTTATACTGTTAATGAGCACTCAGTATCATTTGTGACTTGGCTCTTTCTACAGGGAGCAAAGAGATACAAAAGACAGCTCTTGCCCATCAATTGAGAAGCTGCAGTCCTCTGAAGTAGCTGATAGTTTTTAGTTAAGCTACTTAAATGCTTTAGAAAATAAGAAGTGTCAAAACTTTGTTTCTTGAAAGGTTTCTTCCTATTCTCTTAAAGAGAAGTTCTGTTTTAGACTTTGACATCATTGC